AAACTTCCAAGCAAGAAAGCATGCATTGTGTGCACAGCTCTGATCTTTGAACTTGGGATGTCAAGCTTGTAGTCACAATGTGAATGGTTTTGAAGAATTTATCTGCCAAAAGACTTAAATGTCTGCTTGTTAGACTGAGGTAAGGTGGTGTTGATATTTTGTCATGGTAGTGTAGCTAACTAGGCATTGCTGAAAATGTGAACAATGCAGTTTCCAGAAGAGTTTAAATTGAATCTAGGTGATTCTGCAGGGATGCAGCTAAGGGGTGGCTGGGAGCTTATTTCATGGGCTGAAAAAGAACTTGAAGGCAGTTGAAATTTGACATGAAAATAAAGACTTTGGGAGCTCTGGAGATGTGTATGCCAGAAAAGCAAGCTGGGAATGTTATGAGCTGGTGTTTTTGTAGCTACATCCCTGGATTCTAAATATAATACAACTGTTTTTCTTGGCATATCCGCTAGCTTTTTAGAGGCGTAAGATACATGTAAAAATATTGGATTCCCAAGGCCTGCTTTTGAGTGTAGTTAACAAGCTTGGCTTACTTGGTGCAACATTCTTGCATCCCGAGAATGTTCTTTTTCCCGTTAATTCTTGGATAATCAACAAGGTTATTTTTAGCTGTACTAATAATCCTTATGATCATTTTTTTTATGATACTAACTATTATCCAATTGAACTTGGTGTGTACATTCAAAATAACGAAGAAGTACAAATGGTTGGTCTTTGCTCTTGTCCTGTCAGCACAGTCCGAAACAAAAGTAATTTCTGGTAGAAAAACAAAGTATTTTTCACCTCTAGGTTTTTTAGTTAATAGTATTGTGGGAGAGCTACATGCATGTGTACCCTTAACAAAGCAATCGGTTTGTAGAAAAACTGTTGTGCTGTGTTGGTTGTCACATGGAACACTTAACCAATTATCGACTTAAAGTTGATAAAGGTGAGTTAATTGCTGTACATAATGAATTTGAAAGCTGTCATTTCGAGTGTTGGTACACTCTACAGGCTTGCCAAGCTGCAGCAAAACCCTATGGTTAATGGCAGCACAAAGGTCACTAACCATACAGTAGGGTATATATACTACAAAGGAAGTGCTACGGATTCCACTAAGATTGTAAAGAGTGGCATAGGATGTCAACAGGATATCACATGATAAAACTGCAATCATGATGCCCTAGGCATCGCACAAGGTAGTCATTACATGATGCAAGGAAACAGTGTGGAAATGAGAGCGTAGGATCAAGCTCCGAAAGGAGAATGATGGAGCACAGGACATGTG